AAAGCCCTTGGAATTAAATTCGGAAAAATTAATTTCCGACCTCGCTGGGATTCGATGATGAAAACCATCAGTTCTCATTATTGACGAGGATGACATCTTGCCTAAGATGGAAAACAATTTTTGTTAGCCTGCGTAATTTGGCTCTAAGGGGAGGGGGGAGGGGAGAGGAGGGGGAGAGGAGAAGAAGGGACCAAATAACCAATCAGCATTTGGTGGCGGCCGTAAAACGTAAATTACCAGGCCTTGAGGGAAGGCCCTCCCTTCTTTCCTTTTCCCCTCCCCATTTCCCCTCCCACTCCCCCCTCCCCTAGGGCTGAACTACGCAGGCTAGATTTTTGTTGACTTGCCATACTTTTCATTTAGGATAGAAATAATAGTACAAACCGTTGTGCTCTTTTGGTGTACTTATTGATTTATTAATACAGGAATCATCATCATCACCATCACTATCAAAATCACCATCATTATAAAAGCCATACATGTGATGCTTTTATTCCTACAGATCCACGCACCTACAGGACCTGTCAACAGGGACTATGATGATGTCCGTCGCTATGCAGATGCAGCTGTCAAAGGCATACAGAGGTATTATAACTCAAGCTTTTTTGAAAAAATCTGAAGGGTTGGTTGCCTACCAAGCCTAAACTGCAAATGTAAATACAATCAGCAAAAGGTCACAAAAAATGAAATTTTCCTAAACTTTGTCTCCGCATTTTCCCTGCCATACTTTGTTTTCTGTGCTGACATATTATTTACATATATTTGATATAATAAATTGTGTAATATTTGTCTTTTATTATCTAAAGCTCTTTTACAAAAGTGAAAATAAGTCTTGAAATAAGTCCCTAACAGGTCAAATCTGAGATTTTTACAAAATGGCTTCCTAAGTCTGAGGGGTGACCCCACATATACTTCAGGGAGCACAGGGAGCCCAAATAACTAAACACTTATTACAACACACTGCAAGCTTACTAGTAAGTAATCTTATGCAACATATGCAAAATGCATTAAAACCTTTACTAACCTACTTTGAAATAGCTGTATTTCAAAGTGACATTTCTGCTGCAACATGAGAAATTTGTATCTGACCGCCATGAAAGCTTGTCAAAAGTCTTCAATGAGTTTGTGACTTAATTATAAATAAGTTCCATGTGTGACACAAAGACAAAATTGTTCTTGTATTTTGATACAGAGTCCAAGCCCATGGTCATCATAAGATAGTGATATATTTTTCCATCCTGATCTGTGCAATTACTTATTACCAACTCACTCACTCCAATCGAAATAGACCTTACATTTTGTGGTGTAATGTTTTAATTTATTCCTATTTCAGACCACGTGTCATTCTCTTGAGTATAAGATTCTTTGTTTGAGTTGTATCCATATTCATGTGTCTTCCATGCACAACCATTAAACAAAGAAATGATACTCTTGGGAACGATACAGGGTCTCTAATGGGAAAACATTGCACCATGACAAATGATGGCTATTCTTTTCTTCTGCCAGAATCAAAACCGTCCGGTCTTTTCCAACATTTTATTGCCAATGAAAAAATATATAAGATAACATCCAAAATGAATGGTACAATGTATTTCCAGAGCAATCAAAGCCGGAAGCAAAGCCCCATTACTTGTTATTCCACCCACAAGTTCCTTCTCAGATGCCTGGCCTGCAACGGTACTTGGGGCCTTCCATGGACTCTATGTGGTATGTATATGTATTTGGAACGTCTGCCTTATACAGGGTTATGTAGTGACTACAGACAGTTTTAAGTCCTTATCCGAGAAGACTTGAAAGTCTAACCATAATTTTGAAAGGCAGCACCTTCTCCTCGTTTAGTTTCAGACCCCGAGTGTTAGTCCAGCCAAGGCTTGAACCACAACCTCCCACACAACAGAACGAAGCTCTTACCGACTGATTATCTATTAACACATTACTGATATACTCCTAATTAAATATTTCAGCCTCTTGAAATCCGTGAAGATGTCCCAAGCAAGAAACAGAAAGTTGAGAAGCTTGGAGTTTTCCTTCATGGAACGGTAAGAGCTTATACACTTGCTTTTATCAGATTCGTAAAATATCACAGTGTTACCTACTTACAGACTCATTTACTCAGGGCTAGCCTTCTTTTACTGTTAATAAATTCACAAATGCCTACGGTTAAGTCAGTAAAGAATGAACAACTTCAACAACACAAACACTTCGAACTTCCACGGACCTTCGCTCAAACACATGAATATTCTTTACAGAAAATTGGAGTTGATGCTGAGCAACTAAGCGAGTATTTGCGCTGCTACATATAACTGCAATTTTCGTAAATATGCCAATTTTTTTTTTTTTTTTTGTCTTGATTTTTTGATTGGGGCCTCGTTGGGACTACGAGTCTGTTCGCTCTGCCCCTCATGTAGTTTACGTGTATCCGCTCTCTTTGGATTCCATTTTTTTATTTATTTATGTAATCTGCATGGAAGTCACTAATAAATAAATAAATAAACTCTGTGCCTGAAAGCTGCTTACTGAAATTTTTTTTTTTTGCTGCCGTCAATCAAACCAGGAAAACCAAATTTCAGCGTGCAACTCAGAGACACATGTTCGCATGTTTATAAAAATTGCAGTCATTTTTGGTTTTCGTTTTTACTTTAGGAATTGAATATTGATTATGTCTCTGCCGTGGAATCTGGAAGGTATGTCGTATGTAATTTAAATTGGGCATAATGTTTTCCAGTTTCAGAACAAGTGTCATTCTCTAGTGAAAAAGAATATTTTATTGAGCTATACAGTAAAACCCCGTGTATAAGAACCTAGATTTTTCCAAGTCAGCCTGAACATGTTCTTATATAAATGGTGCTTAACTTGAAAGCAGGCTATCTAGGTTCTTAAATAGCGAACCGAACCCCGCAGGACGTCTGCAACGGAGGCTAGGTTCTTAAATGGGTTCTTAATTCTTGGTAAGAAAAAGAGTAATTGCATTGGTGGGCGTGGCATACTAAATAAAAACTGTTAGGTAATAACTATTTAGATCTTATTTCATGGACATCTCATGGACATCTCATGGACTCTAACATACAGATTACTGTATTTTATTAGAGAGTTTTAGATTGACTTTTTTTTCTCCCCGCAAACGGCAAACGTGACCACGTTTTCATAGTTTTCCTGTATTTTACTTTACCTTTTACAAACCTTCTCATCAAGCGCAAATACTCTTTTGTTTTTCTACTACTTGGACTTTTTTGCTATTCTTTTTCAGTAATTTAAAAGAATTTTTTACTGGTCAACTGACGTTTCACGTTTGCCGTGAACGTAAATCTAAAACTCTCTATCATTTACAAGAAAATTGACTGATGGACTTTATATTTTGAAACTAGTGAAGGACCTACTTTGAAAATTTTAGCATGAAATGAATTTTTAGGTTCTTATACACGGGGGGTTTTACTGTATCCATGTTGTTCTTAAGTTTCTTCCCTTGCCAATGCAAGTGCAGTTTGAGGAGCAATTCTAGCATACTTATTGCAAGAAGATATAACTAGCTAAAAACTAGTGTGAGCTGCGTCGGTGTTTCTAATGAAACAGTAATGATAAAAGGGTAAATTATACACCGTAAAAAGATGAAAAAACTTACTGACGTTTCGGACGCTAGTCCTTCGTCGGAGTAGAAAACTTATTGCAGAAAAGCCAAGTAAAAGCTTTAGGCTTCAGCTCATGACAGAAAATCATTTTTGGTTTAAAAACTTAGCCACTAGCTAAGTGTTCTTGGGGATCTTGCACGAACTTTTTAAGTAATATTGTCTTGTTTACTCTTGTTGTTCTTTATCCAGGAAAAGGAAACATTTGTTTACTTTGATTTCTGCCTGGACATTTTATAGTGCAAAAGATCTCTGCTATGATTACCTCTAATAACTGATGTATTTTTCATTGTGATCTAAGGCTTGTGTGCCGTGATATTGGAGGATCCGATCCAGAGAGAATGGCTGCACCAAATGTCGAGACATATGTCCGAAAAACGTTCAAAGGGACACCAGTGAAGGTGAGATAAGGCAGGACTTACTAACCGACCGGTCAATTGACTGTCCGACCATCGGACCACCCGACCACCCGACATTTTGCTGATCAGCTGGCTGACTAATTTTCTACTCAGTCGCCATTAGTGCCGTCACGCAACGCCTACTCCCCTAACGTAGGGGAGTAAGCGTTGCGTGACGACACTAATAGCGGCTGCGTACGAGACTAGCCTTACTTTTGCGATCCGACTGATCACTTACATTTTTCTACAGATTTCTGTCCTTGCTGATGAAAGTGCATTTGAAACAGACTATCCTCTCTTGGCAGCTGTTAATCGTTGTGCTAAACGTAAGTAGCTGAGTTTGGACAAGGAAAAATCCATTCCGAAATTATTGGTATAATTGGTATTTTTTAGTCGACTTTCACTATTGAAATGCTTCTGGTAACTGTACGGTTCGATCCTCGATTTATATACATGCACACCTGTTCGAGTTTTCTCTAGAAAGCGCATTTTTGATGGTAGGGATTGGGTTGAAGCAGAAATCCTCTACGAATGCTAAAATCCTACGTTTGGTTCAAAAAGAATGAAAATGCAGCACTCAACTTAACTAAGGTGTCAAATAGTGGTGCTCACGAAAAACAGGGTAAAACCAATAGTGGGACCCCAATTGGACCAGGAGAAGGAGCGATTCTAGGATTTTTAAAAGGAAGTGACGGTCATAAGATACCTCGCATCAACACCACAGGAAACCCATAAAAGGCGGGAAAATGGTGGAAATATGATATCTCAAATTGACGGAATTTAAATTCGAAAGCTTCAACTAAACCAAATGAAAGGTTGTGCGAAGAAAATGTTTTCAGTTACAAACACATTCTTTTTACTCGTGTGGTATCCCAGAAAGGTCCGCCACAATATAAACTTAAACCTACCATTCTTTGTTTTTGTAAATTTGACTTTGAAAATCTTTGTAAGGATTTAAATCTATCATTTTCCTTGCAAATAGACCATTTTCGAGTTCCGAATTACCGCTGTGTTCCTTGATTACAGACCCATTTACTCAGGCTTAGCCTCGAATCAGTGTCTAAATATTCACAAATACCAACGGTAAAGTAAAGAATGCACAACTTCAACAATACAAACACTTTGAAACTCAACGGACCTTGACTGGAATACGTGAATATTGTAAACACAGTCGAGGCTAACCCCGAGTAACAGAGAACTCGAAACTAGATTATACCATTTATGGTTAATAGATGTGAAGAGGCACCAGGGACGGCTGATCCAGCTAGAGTACGTCGGTGAAGGAAAGATTGACCAGACCCTTCTGTTGGTCGGAAAGGTATATTTTAGTTATGCAATTGGTGGTTTTCAATCATTCCCAAGAGAATGAAATAACAAAAGACACGGCGGCCATGTTGGATGATATAACAAAAGAGAATATGACGAATCTTTTGTTACATTCATCCAACATGGCGGCTGTGAAAACCATCAATATTTGCTAGCAAGAACAATATGTGCAACCACATGTCTCAAAACCCTTTGAGATATGAATATCAATGAAACAGCCGCCACCTTGGTTGATCTAACAAGAGAAGGTAATGAGGAATGCTTTGTTATCGTCAACCAAGATGGCGGCAACGACGTAACGTGCACCTGGTCTATTAGGTTAGCTTGCACTGGGTTGATTCGGTAGCCTGTTGTAATCAACGATCTGATCTGGTCGTTGGGAAATCTTGAAGGGTTAAGGGTCCAAGTCAGATATATCTGCTGAATGAAGAGTTTGAAGACCATTATCTTTTTTCCTTCAGGGAATAACGTATGATACTGGTGGGGCTGATATCAAGGCCGGTGGGGTGATGGCCGGTATGCACAGGTATGGTTCGTCTCATATCTTACATCTTAAAGAGGAGCTTTTCTGTAGAAGATATCAGATATTAGAAGAGATCTTGACAAAGGAAAGATTTGACGGTTTTGCAAAACAAAAAACAAAAAAAGTTAATTAGTCATTTTTTCTTATTTTTCATTTTAGGGATAAATGTGGAGCAGCTGCTGTTGCTGGATTCTTCCAGGTATTATATTTTCTAGTTATTTTCCTTTTGCTGATACGAAATTTTTCCCTGCTAGCAGAGTCTCTCTTCTCTTTCTCTCCCTTCTTTCAGGCGGGGAGGAAGGAGACTCTGCCGATGTAGAGTGTTTCCTTTGACGATACACCGCCGTCCACGATTGTGGACGAACGAAACCAGTTTTAAAACCGGTTTTTAACCGGGTACATGTAGTGCGCATGAGCAAATGTAACACACCGTGGCGCCAAACGTTGTTTGACGAGAGCGGCTGTCGAAATCATGACAGCGTTGCTAAGTTACGCCACGCATGCGCGACAGAAATAACGTCCTACATCGGCAGAGTCTATTTTTCTCTCTCAACCAAAACAAAAGGAAAATAGGCTCTGCTAGCAGGGAACCAAAATTTATTCTCTTCTGACTGACAGTTCGAAAAGCCAGTCCGCGTAAACTGAAAACCAACTTGACTTTTTTGTGTGTGTATATTTTCGTTTATGTATTTTGTTTTTATGGAAAGTTTGTTTGAAGTCGTTCATTTTTGATTAAAATAGGCAATGTGCTTCTCGATACTAGGGTATAGTACTTGTTATCGTGATTAGTTTTCGACCTCGCTCTACTCGGGCACGGGAGAAAGAGGACCACTAACTCAGGGTACTTAACACAACAACAACATGTAACATCAGTGGCGAAGTGAGACTATCAGAGTTGGAGGGGCGAGCACACGCGTTTTGGCGCGATTCCTCAAATCCATAGGTAGCCCATCAAAATAGGAACTGAAAGGGAAAATTTATGGTTTTTTGGTCAAACGATTTTTTTGAAAGGGGGGAGGGGAGGGTGGTTTGCTACTCCTCGATATAACATTTCATACATCCTCTCATTATGATCATAGATTCTAGCCAAACTCAAGCCCAAAGGCATCAAAGTGTTGGGCAAAATGGCCATGGTTCGCAATAGCGTTGGCTCAGGTACCGAATTGTGGAGACGTTTTTAATGTACCCCTCTCAAAATAGCCCACCTCCGAAATATCCTTTGCTTGTCACACACAAAGGATTCAGTGTGAGGCTTCGTGCATAATGCTCAGTGATTCGTGAAAGGAAAAAAGAATAAATTTCATTTAGCACTTAGCCTTGTACTAAAACCTTTGCATGTGTGACAAGGGAAGCATATCTCGAGACGAGGCAATACCAAAAAAGTGCCACAAATTCCATCGAGAAAAGTCTGATTTCTTTTGTATTTTCATGTCCCTAGCCATGCTCGCTTGCAGGAAAACTTTGAGAAGGGTCCGTTGTCACTAGTGAATTTAATTTCTAGTAATTGCAATTATTATCTATTAGAAGTTGATCAGTTCATGTGAAGCGCATTAGAGTATCAGATTAAAAAATCAAATTGCTATGGTTATTTAAGCATTTAAAAAATACTGAGTTTTGATAAAAGCTTTAAAAACAAATCCTTAAGGAATTTTGCGTCTCAAGAAGGTGTTGGTGGTGTTGGTGTTGGTGGTGGGGGGGGGGGGGGGGGGGTTCAACACACTGTGATCGGCTATAGGTGGGGCCTTTAAATTGTTTTGTAAGGTGCGTTGGTTGGAGATGAGAGAAGGGATATGGTAGGGCTGTCAAAATAATGGCGAGGAAAGATGATGAGAACGATTTTGAATTTAGTGGAATTATCATGTTGTTATACATAATACAATACACTGGCTTCCCCGCAAATCACAAAGCTGATCTAGGAGGGTATGTGTTAACAAAAATAAATTGGATATATATCTATTTACAAATCTCTAAGCAAAGGTATGATGAGTATAAAAATGAGTGTCCTCACTGTAAAAGAGCTAAACCGTTGTTAGAGCGTGAGAGATGAGGTGGTAAGGCGTGTGGGATCATGGGCTGTTTCTTGCGTTGTTAGAGAGGTTTTCGATGTTTCTTTTTGCTGATTGTTTAAGATCTAAAGGAGGATGCCAATGGCGTTATTAGTTAACTGACAATTGGGTATACCCCCATTGGCACCCTCCTAAACCCTTGTGAATTCAACTTCTAGATTGTTACGTGGCTGACGAGATCATCACGTCAGCAGCCGGTGTTCGTGTCAGGGTGGGTAACACAGATGCTGAAGGAAGGATGGTAATGGCTGATCCCCTGCACCACTCCAAGCTAGAGGTAATTGAAAAAAGGAAACTAGGAATACTAGCAACAAGCTAACAGTCGTGGTATATGTAAAAACCCGTGCTGGAATTCCCAAAATTCGGGGGTCAAAACAAGCAGAATTCCCATCTTTTTTGCTGTAAGTATTTTTTTGTGTTTTGACCTTCATGTCGGAAGCCGCGACAGCTGCTGTTTTTTAAGAATTATTATTACTATTATTATTATTATTATTATTTCATGCGTCAATAATAAATAATACAAATGGTTATCCACAGGCACTAAAGGAGAAGAATCCTCACGTCATCACCATAGCAACCTTGACAGGACATGCCATCAGGGCCATGGGTCCTAACTATTCCGTAAGTAGTACTGTTTCAAGTTATGTACGAGAAATCTAAATTAGATGGGATAAAATATACGTATCCCTTATATATTCAGTTGCAAAATCATTGTTGGGTTCAAAAGCAGAACATAAAAGCTGAGACCGATATGGTGCATGGGGAGTACGTTAATTAGATCGTGGAATCATAGTTAATGTAACGGGATGGTTGGGAAACCTATTGTTCTAGGTTTTTGTTGGACTTTATCCATTGTTACATGACGTTGACTGTGCACAGAGGAGGAAAATTTGCGCCATTTGTTCACAGTATTAGGAAATATAGACGTTTTCCCCCCAAGATATCTTTCTAACATAGTTATTATTTGTTAATTAATCCTATATCATTAATATTGACTGTTAATCGAAAAGGAAATCCCCTTTTTTCATGCTTTCTTATTTATCATCTAGTAACTTAACTGTATCTGCGCGGAAATATTTATTCGCATGGTTTTTTGGTCATGGAATGAAAGTTTTTACTTTTAAAGTGTTCATACATGAAAATAATAAGGAAATGAGTATTTTCAGCCATTCAGGCTTTGGTCATTGCGCACCGTCAGTATCACGTGATGGTACGGTTCAACCTCAAACGCAAAACAATAGCTTTGTTTAACTATGGTGGAGCGTTTGTTATGACGAGTCCTTTTTTTAGACATAGATACAATTAACACAGGAAACCCACATCCTTATCTTGTAAGAACACCTTCCTTTTTGGACGCAACTCTTATTTGTTCCTTTACACCTTCTACGTTACAGATTGTTTTAGACAACGGACCTGCCGCCAAGAAGAGCTTTGCGCAGAAAATCCAAGCTGGTAAATCTGGACTAATTCATTTTATTATTTTTGAATTCATAATAGATATTCTCTTGGGTGACGGGCTAAAACATTTGTCCCATGCGACAAAACACGAAAGATGACATACGATTTTCATAGTTATACGGACCCAGACAACTAGTTATCCTCTAGTTTTTATTTATGTCAATCAAATTTCCATCGGTCTGAGCGAATATACGTTTTGCTTGTATCTTGCCGAAAAATAGCTTGTTTAATGTTTCTAATTTTTCAACTGAATCTTTGACATAATTGTATGCATCCTAAGTTGTGTGTGGGCGACGCAACATGTAGATGGAAAATCTTCAAGTATTTGGCACAGATATTGTGGTAATAAAACTGATTTTATCGTTTTTTTTCTAGCTGGACATGAGATCGGAGATCCATTTGAAATTTCAACCATTCGTCGAGACGTAAGTTTAATTTATGTCCTTTTTTCCATTTGTTTTATTCATTGCTTTTATCGATTTGTCCGTCCGTCCATCCATTCACTCACCCACCCATCCATTCCATCCATCCATCCATCCATCCATCCATCCATCCAT